CACCACAAGGAATGTCTCGGAGGCTCCATTTTAGTACTAGCCAGTCCCCTAAACGCAGGAGGGATCCCGTGAGATGCTCCCCGGGTGTCAGCGCATCCCCGGCACGTGTACCGGAGAGACGGGAGTGTGCTGGCTCTCGCCCCTGCCCCAGCATCTCCCCACTGATGGATGCTGCTGACGCGCAGAATCCAGAGCAGGGCAGCCCTGAGGACCCCACGCAGCACTCGGGGGGACCCCAGACCTCCCTGTGGCAGAAGGCAGGGTGCAGAGCCACTCAGGGTAGCCACAGTGCCAGAGCCACCAGCAGCACTGCAAGGGCCACAGTCACCACTGACCAACACGAGACAGGTAAAATCCCGTCGCCGAGGAGCCTTCAGGGTGCCCAGCAAAATGGCATTCCTCCTCGGTAGCATGGTGCAAGGGCTGGGCAAAAGTCACGGGAGAGGGTCCGCACCGCAGCACACAGAACCTGCTGAGACCCTCTCCTGCCCCGGCACCGATTTAGGTCCCCAGACGGCAGCACGAGATGCTCTGTGCCACCCGCTCTCATAGCAGATCTGGGCAGGGCTTCCAGTTCAGGGTTCGGAGTTAGGAGAATGGAACTGGGAGAGGAAGGGAGTATGGAAGGAGGAAGGGAGAAAATAACTGCCCAATTGTCAATCCCTGCCCGGGGAGGAAGGATTATTTTTTTCTTGCCCGTTGAAGGGAATTTCCACACTCCCCTTTGGCTTGCTGGTGGGACTGTGGATGGGGAGGTCTCTCCCAGGAAGCATTTGCCAAGCTCCCCCCCAACGGCAAGGAGCACAGAACCCCAAACCCAGGCCATATCCCCAGCACAGGCTGCATTTTCACATTAGCAACTGACGCTGCAGTTTATCACAAGTCAACCGCACCGCACACCTCCTCACCTGCATGACAGAATAGCCAAAGCAGAGACATTCAAGCAGGGAGGTGAAAGCCCTGGCCTCGAAGCACAGCTTGATCTGGCACCAGAGAGATGCCGAAACCCAGCCAGACCCTCCAAACACAGGTTCAGCCGTGGGCTGGGCTGATGAGTCACAGGCTTTGTCTCGTAGCTCTCCCGGAGCAGAGAGGGGCTCGCTCAGCAGGCGACGCGGCTGCCGCGCTCTGCAGAAGCTGCACCGCGCTGCTGGGCATCCTCCCTGCCCGGCCGCAGGGTGCTTGGAGAGTGTCTGCAACGACCTCTGCACAAGCTCGGGTTGCATTGGGAAGGGGACCTCAGCCAGCAGCAGGTTTTGGGCTGTTGCATCACCCCCAAGAGATAGCCCGTAGGGACACATGGGGTGTAAGCAGAGGCGGGGGCGAGTGCCAGAACTGCCTAACACTTCTTTTTCCTTGTCTGTCTATTTGTGTGTTGCAGCAATATCATCCCACCGACATCACTGGCCAGCTCAACCTCTCCGACCCCTCAGTCAGCACTGTGGTGTGACCTTCTCCCCGAGGGCCATCAGTCCTTGCCCAACACCAAAGGAAGGCGCAGCCAGGACTGCCTTTCAAGGGACACTGATGGGTTCTTCTGGGTGAGATGGGAGGAAAGCATCCTTCATCCATACACAGTGACTTCATTGTAAATCTCCCTCCCTTCCCAGGCCTGCTGCCATGCTCGTGCCCCAGGATGCACAGCAGAACCAGGACACGGTTTGGGCTTCACTGTACAGAGATAATCACTTCCAACCAGTGCTGTTGATAACCAGTATTGCCACTGACTGGCTACGTGCAAGGGGAAAGGACTTCAAAAGGCACATGGTGCCCGCGCTCCCACGGTAGCGGGGAAGAGCTGGTGCCAGACTACAAACATGTGCTTCACTTTGCAGGCTTCAGGCTTCTCAGCGCACGAACGGCTCCTCAGACGTGTGCTCCATGGTTCCCACCACCCCAGAGGACTGTATGACGTGCTCATGGTCCCAACTGGCTGGAGCAGCCGGTGCGGTTCGGCAGGTTGGGCACGTGTTCCTGCTGTGCCAAGTGACCCCTGCCTCTGCAGCAGGGACCGGGAGATGTGTGCTCTGCTCCTTGCCAGAGATGAACCCCCTCTTCCTCCCTCCCATCAGCCTGTGGCTATGACTTGGCTCCTCTACGTGGTCAGTTTGCAGCAGGATCACTCCCGGCCCTGCAGCCCACGTTCCTGTGCTAAACGTGGTACTCTGGAGCTCATAACATGCTGTCAGCCAAGATCCTGGCTCCCCACCAGAAGACATCCCCAGGGCCTGGCCATGGCCAGTAGCTCTCACACCGTGGCTCTCCTGGCCTGGAACATCTCCATGGGGAACGGCTCTGGATGGTTGCATTGACCTTTAGCCAAGCTCACACTGCCTCAGCACCAGCAATGCAAGGAGAGATGCTGCTGGCTGGGCAAGGGTTGCCGTGTGCTGTGGTGTCTGCAGCGGCCGCCTAGCATGGCTGCAGTGTCAGGGCACCACAGCGGGCACTGGCAGCTTCCCTGCCACACTCACCTGCAGCTCAAGCTTGCCAGCAGCTCCTGCAGCAGTATTGAAGCCCCAGCTCACACGGCTGCATCTGCCTGAACATGGAGACGTGGAAACCAGACCCCAGTTCGGGTGAAGGGAACCAAGCAAGACAGGCTGACGCTGTTTGTCCCCACGCCTTCCTCCCCTCAAGTATATGTGCCCATGATCCAGCATCCCTGAGTGTCCTCCCCATGGGTGCTGTGAGCGAGTGTGGAGACACGAGCGTCGGGGAAGCATCCGGCACCAGCCAGGCTGGTGATGAGCAGCTACAGCACACGCACGGGCAACATCGCATCCCTCCTCCTGCGAAGGCGGAAAACCCACCTGCAATGTGGTACCAAGCCCCAGCGGCATGAACTTCCTTCTCCTTGCCGCAGCTGAGCAGATGGGGCTTCCCCCTGAGGGTCGGCAGCTTTTGCAGGCAGGATCTCCAGACGGCAGCTGAGGTCTGTGAGCGTCGTCCCACTGACTGCAGTGGCTCCATCAAGTTCATCTCTCTCCAGCTGAGAAACTGGACCCATCCTACTTTATACGTCAATGTAACATTAAAACCAAGTTTTTGCAAGAGCTCAGTAAAGTCTAGACTGGATCATGAAGTGGTTTATTCCAGTGCCGTGTGCTTCTTTCCGTCTCTGCCTTCTGGCAAAGCTGGCGGGGAGCCCTGTGCTGAATCAGAGCCTCACCCAGGGTTTGCGAACAGTGAAAGGTGGAGGGATGGGGAGGGATGAAGAGGTCAGCGGGGAGAAAGGCCAGGAGCTGCAGGGAAGACTGGGAGGGAAGGGGCATCACCATTGCGGGATGCCAGGCTGATGGACAGCCTGAACAGCCAGTGTGGGGGGACAAGCCTGGCCACGGGGGGCCAGGGACGGTCTGAAACCGTCTGAATGCCAGCACCATGCCAGCTGGCTCTCACCCACCGCCGTCCGTGGGAGGATGGTCCCCTGCCACTGCTGTGCTCCCCAGCTCCTGGAAGCCAGCATGGGGCACAGCCGGAGGAGCTGGCCTTTGGGAACAGAGGACCGACGGCAGGGATGAAGGCACCTGGGGAAGTCCCTGCACATCAGCCCATCCGTAGGGAGGTGCCCTGAGGGATTTGCGAAACAGAGAGACAGCTCCCCTGGGCTGAACTGAAGCAACAGGACTCATTCACAGCATGCTCCCCATGTTCTGAGACCACCAGGCAAACCTATGTGGGGCCCTCAGCCTCAGGACGATCTGGGAGGAAGAGCAGGGATCGGGTGTCCACGCAGGACGATAAGCAAGATCCTAGCTCCAAATGGGAAGCCCAGGCCTTCTCAGAAAGGACTGAGTGCTGTCACTAGAGAGGGTCTGGGAGAGCTGGGATTGCTCCTGGGAAAGGTACCGTGCAAGGAGCTTCTCCTAGCAGAGGATCTGCAGCCGTCCCGGGTGCTGGGCTGGTAGCACTGGAGGAGCTGCTGCTTTCACCAGCTCCCCACAGCCCCCACACCCCTCGCTGGGGAGAGGCACCGCAGGAAGGGCTGAGTGGGAATGGAGCGATGCAGGTCCCAGAACACTGGGTTGGTTTCTCTCTTGAAAGTAAAAATGGAAGCAAGCCACAACTGAGATGACTTTTAGTTTACTCTCTGCGTAATTTATTCAACCCTTGCCAAGAGCTTGCCAGTGAATGCACTGACCCCTGCCACATCCCTGGCTTCTCCTGCTGCTCTTGCATGGGCAAGAGACTGAGCAGACAAAGGGAGGCTGGTGACCACAGTCATCTCATTGTGGTTCTTATCGCCTTGCAATGGGTAAGAGCTCATTTTAGAAAGGGCTGTTGCTTCTACCTGAGACGCTTTTGTCACCACAGCTCGTGCTTTCCTCTGGAGCAGAGCTCCAGCTCCTTCCAGGCCATCTCCCTGTGCACTCACTAAGCATTGCCACGCAATGCAGGGGAGAAGCGTTTCCACAGGGAAGGGCAGGAGGCCTCAGGATGGGGAGATGCAGGGGCAGCCCCAGCCCCCGTCTATGGGCTGTGGGAGGTGAGGCAGCAGCAAGGGTTCCAGGCTCTGGGCTGTAAACCCATGTGGGCTTTTTTTGTCCCTAGTTCCATCACTGAGCTAACCCTAGACATGGGCCTTGGATGAGCTTTAGCCTAGGAGAAAAGATACTGGGTGAGGAACCATCGTGCAGCCTCACCCATCCTTTGGCAGCCCCTTTGCCGAACTACATCCATGGGAGCTTGAGTCTTTGACTTTTTCCAACCCTCACCCTAAACCTCAGCCTCACCCTCAACCTTGGTTGCTGGCTGAGCTTTCTCAGCAGCAGCAGCCCTGTCTCAATGAAAAAAAAAAACTATTAAAAGAAACATTTTTCAACCTGCCCTGTCCTTGGGCAGCACACAGAGGGGTCTGGGGCTTTCTGAAAGCCCCGTGGAGGCTCTGGAGTGCCCCAAAAGCACCCAGAGATCTTCAGGTGCACCAAAAAGCATATGGAGGGCTCTGGGGTGCACCAAAAGGCAAACCAATGCCTGTCAGGACACAGAAAACCAAATGGATGGCGTTAGCATGCACAAAAAGCCAAGTCATGGGGTCTTGAGGGCATGGAGAGGCACACTGAGGCTGCTGGGGGGCACTGAATGGCACTGATGGGGAGTTCTGGGGGCACCAAACGGCCCAAGGAGGGCTTTGGGCCAAACAGAAAGGCACACAGAGTCTCCTAGGCCACACCAAAAGGCAAATGGAGGCTCCTGGGGTGCAATGAAAGGCACCCAGCGGAATATGGTGTGTCCTGAGATGCACACAGGGGCTCCCAGGGTGCACCAAAAAGCACATGGAGGCACATGGCGCATCCCGAAATGCACACTGAGGCCCCTGGGCAGCAGATGGGGCTGGACAGGGTGACCTGGAGGAGAAGGATCACCTGGCCCTCCCAGGGAAGGGGATGTGCAGGTCCAAGGGTGGCCTGGGGGAGCTTTCCCAAACACAGAGAGCATCTGCAGTCAGACCACGCCGTGTCTGTGCAGGGGGGCTGAGCTGGAGGCAGAGGGGCAGAGGGAGCTTGGCATCGTCCTGGGGGACTCTGGGAGGAGGAAGAAAAGCAGATTCCAGGAACAGAGCACCCTCTGACTGGTCCGCAGCGAAATGTTTGCAACAGTGGGGTGCAGACACTGGGAGGAGGGCATGGACCACAGCTAAAGCCTGGTCACCCTGCCTCAGCAGTCCCTGCAGATGCGGGGTCTCCTCCAGAAGTGGGATTCCCTGCGCAGGTTGTGGAAAACGACTATGATGGAGCCCATGAAGGTGCAGAAGAAGATGCTGCCCATGAAGGAGAACAGTCCAATGCTCAAGAAGGCGACGTAGTGCTGGGGAGAGAGTGAGGTCTCCTGGCATTGCCTGAAGGATTCATTCTCAAAGGCCATGACTGGATACTTGTTCAGCTGCTCTGGGACTCTGCACACGAGCGAACTCTTCTCTGGAAGAGAAAAGCAGTGCTGATGGGGACAGTGGGCAGCTGGGACAAGGTAGGTGTCAAGGACAGAAGCAGGTCTGCATGGGACAGATGGGACAAGGGCAGGAGGCCAGCGGCCAGGTTGACCAGGATAGCCCTGGGGAGGGTAAAAAGAAGGGGAGCAGTGAGTGTTCAGGGCTCACCTACATCCTGCGCCCTGGGGAGTGGGATGGGACGGGGAGGTGGGTGCAGTTCTGAAGAGGACACTGGAAAATGGGTTTGGGGCAGGACTGGATGGGGCAGGGCAGTAGATGGGGCAGGCAAGGTTCCCATGGGACAGATGTGAGGAGCAGTGAGCAGCCAGCCTGGAGATGCCACAGAAGGTCCCAGCCAGCACGAGTGACAAGCACACACCCAAGCTGGAAGCAAGCAGCCGTGGGTGGCAGTGGAGAGACCTCGCTGGCAGAGCTGTCTCTCACAGAGGTTCACAGGGGAAGAAATGCAGGATCAGACCCATGTTCACTGGGGAAGGGGCTGAAGGCACTGAATCCTGGCCAGGTCAGTGGTGATGGTCACCCTGTCACTCAGGCTCTTCTTGCCCCCTCCAGTGCCCACTGCCCAGCACACCTTGCCCTCTCTGCAGCAGGACTGGTGCCACTTCTGTGGACAGTGCTGGGTGCCCATCGCTGGGACATTGCCCGGCCCTCCTGTCCCGGCAATCCCTGCTGGTGACCAAGAACCAAGGGTGGGCACTAGGTACCAGACCCAGGGATGCATCCACCCAAGCAGCCACAGGAGCTGCCACGGTCCTGGGGAACCTCATCGTACCCCCACAGGCATCGACCACGCGAGCCCACAGCCGGCTGGCAGCCAGGGTGCTGGGTCCTGCCTCAGCCCCGACGGTGTGACCAGCCAGCATGGCGTGGGCAGGGGGCTTGGCGACACGGTCCTCCGGGCACTCACCTTGCACTTTTTCCCTGTTTTGGCTGAGCCAGCGCCAGAGGGGCAGGATGCCGCAGCTGCACACCCAAGGGTTGTCCCGCAGGAGGAGGGCTCGGAGCTGGGGCAGGGCGTGCAGCACCCCGGGTTCCAGCTCCCCCAGCCTGTTGCCGCCCAGGTTGAGCGTGGCCAGGCTGGTGAGGGGCAGGAAGGTTTCGGGGGTCAGCACAGTGAGGTGGTTGTTGCTGAGGTCCAGCTCCTGCAGCATCCCGAGCCCCGCCAGCGCGTGGCTGTGGATTTGCCCCAGGTGGTTGTGGCGCAGGCTGAGCAGCAGCAGCTCTGGCAGAGGAGGGAAGGACCACGGCCCCAGCACACGGATGAAGTTGTAGCAGAGCTGCAGCACGCTGGTGTTGGCGGGCAGGCTCTGTGGCACCTCGCTGAGGCCACGCTCGCTGCAGTCCACCTCTCCCGAGGAGCAGCGGCAGGCGGCCGGGCAGCCCGGCGAGGGCCCCCCGACAAGATCCCCAGTCCCCGCCACCTTCCCCAGCCGCCCAGCCCCCCTGGGTGAGCCCGGCGGTGCTGAGCAGAGGTGCTGGGCAGTGCCCGGCTGCGCGGGGAGCGGGTGGAGGTGCTCAGCTCCCTGCACCGCTCGCTGCCACCCTGCGTCTGCGAACCCGGAGCTGGCTGCGCTCCCGGCCTCAGTTTTCCTCGGGGTGGAGCTGAAGGTTCTTCAGCAAATATTTTTGCAGTGATGTCTGCCCTGGCAAGGTGTGGAGCCGTGCCCTCATCCCTCCCTCTGCCAGGTACTGCTCCAGCCAGGTAAGCAGCCAGCTCCGCACGGCCTGGCATTAACTGCTTGTGTGTGCTGCAGGCTGGAGAGCTGGAAAAAAGCACAACCAGACCCATGCCTTGTTCTCCATCCTCCCCACGGGGATGCCCCACGGGTGTGCTGCCTCACCAGCCACCTGCAGGGAGATGTGTACCTGGGACCCCTGTAGTTGGCTGGGGTCGGACAAAGCTTAAATCATATCCCAGGCAGGTCTAACCCCATCTTCTGTGCTGGCCCACCATGCCCAGAGGTCCTCAATGTGGAGCTCTGCTGCGAGCCACAGGCCACCCCGCTGAGCCCAGCCCTTGGCCGGGCTCTGTTTGCCCCTGGCAGGAATCGCAAGCCCTGCCAAAACAAGGAAGGTTGGGATGCGAGTCCCACGGACCACCCTCCTCCTCCCCAGCAGGCTGGCACATCTGCAGGCAAGCTGGGGGACACCTGGGACCCCCCACATGAGCAGGCATGGGAAAGGTGACCTTGACAGGCTGCAGCCGCCCAAAACTTGCTTACCCTTTCCCTGGCACAGCAGTACCGGTACAAGAGGGCTCAAAGTCTGCCTCCACCCTGTTTACACCTGCTCTGGTTTCAAAGCTGCCTGTAGCCCCACAGCAGAAGGCTGGAGAGGAGAGATGTCACCTCCTGGCACCCACCGTCCCTGGCAGACATGGCCGGCAGCACCCCATCCCACCGGCAGCCCGGAGCGGGGACCTGGAGCAGACAGAGTCCTCCACTCGCACCCTCACAACTCCCGTCTCATCTGGGACCTCGGCGGTCCCGGTCCCGGAGGGATCCCTGGCACCTCTGCCCCACAGCCAAAGGGCTGGCAGGGCAGCCCAGGCCAGGACCAGGATGTTCCCAAATCCGGGGCAGAAGCAGCAGGAAGGCAGTTTATTAATAGCATCCAGAGGAGCTTTGGTTTGTTTATCTATCCTGCAGCAAACTCGGTTTGCTGCTTTAATCCCCATCTGGAAATAATTCAGAGGAATCCTCCAGCCCAGCCCAGCCCCGAAGCGGGGCACAAACCCGCAGCCACGTGGAGCTGCAGCACCAGCTCCCCCCGCCACCAGCTGGGGCCATACCGGGACCTGAAA